CACTTTACAATATATTCTGTGAAACACTTTCAGACGTCTTAACGACGCGATAAGGCGCTATATCAAATGCAGGGATTATTATTATTATTATCAGATATTACTTCTTACAGACCCTTATTTTCTGCCCATTTTACATCAGTCGTAATGAATTTTATTCCATTGTTCAAAGTCGTGGCTTCTGTTTTCTGTTAGTGTCACCATGTTAAGAGAATCTCATTAAGTGGCATCAAGACTTAAGCCATACAACCACAAAGTAACATTAGTATCACGTCTTTCACGTCGGGAAGACGTCCCAAGGCGTTGGACAATCAGTGTTTCAGAATATATGCAGCTAAAGAGCTGTTCGAAACCAGATCCTATATCTGCAGGGCTCACACAGCAGAATAGAAACTCAATTGAATTTTGAAAATATATGAGAACAGGAAATGCTGAGCTGTGTCAATCAATCAATCAATCAATCAATCAATCAATCAATCAATCAATCTTGCTTCCTTTCTTTCCTATGTTAATAATAATAATCCTTGCATTTGATATAGCGCCTTATCACGTTGTTGAGACATTTAAGCACTCTGGGACACTGCCCTGCATGAGAGGAGCTATATAAATGTAAGTTGTTTTTGTTGTTGTTGCGACACCTCCAAGCGCTTCACAGAAATACACTGTAAAGTGAATTGACTGTGTATTTTGGGGCGAAACCTAAGGACGGGATATAGCTTTGTAGTGCCAAGTAAATAAAATTAGTTGCTAGTCAGGAGAGGTTAAAAAGAGTTGGGGTGGGGGAGGTGGGGGGGTGAGGGGGGAGTCTGTCTGTGGGGCTGAATGTTTCAGGGCGGTGCAATTAAATCATGTTATTGTTGGGACTCAAACAGGATGCACCGCCTGAACTACATTTCCTTCATTGCACTTGGTTTAGCTGCAAGTATTTCTGTGTCTAGCAATGAGAAAAAAGTTGTTCCTGACCCCGGTTACATCTCACAGAGGCCGTGTAATCAGTGTGTGCGGAGCATTAGCAGAGAGGTTTAGGGCGAAGGCATTTTATTTCAATCAAAAGAGGAATAAACCTTGATACAGCGCCTCATCACCTCGTTGAGACGTCTCAAAGCGCTTCACAGAATATACTGTAAAGTGAATTGACTGTATGTTTTGTGGGCGACACACGGCAGCCAATTGCGCACAGCAGCGTCCCACACACAGCCATGGGTTGAAGGAACCAAATTATTATTATTTTCTATTGTTTATATTGAGAAGAGAGGAGGGAGTCAGGAGTCAGTAACACACACACACTCACATAGCTGTGTGTTGTGCATTGCGTTTGTTAAACAAAAGAGGAGTTGAAAGGAACAATGAGTGTTTACACTAAAATAGGGAACAATAACAACAGATTGATTTAGGGAGAGATTGTGTATGGAAAAACACATAAAATTAAGTCTGTTTTAATAGCATTTATAGAGGAGTTATTGTTGTTGCACAAAATACCAGATTGAATGAACGATACCTGGAGGGAGAGAGAATTTTATTTTATTTCCCTATTTTTTGCCCTAAATTCCTTCCCAAGACCTGACCCTTCGTCTTTCCCATCGACTTACTAAGCAGATTGTGTTGCTTTTGATTTTATTGGATCTTGTTGGGGGGAGTGAGGGGGGGGGTCGGGGGGCAGAGAAAAAAGAAAATAAATTGTTCAATGGGATATCTCATTATTTACAAAAAAATCTAATAAAAGTTTGACCCTGCCTTCAATAATAATCATAAAGTCCTGTAGCTCAGTGGTTAGAGCGCTCGCCTCGCAAGCGAGAGGACCTGAGTTCGAATCCCGGCAGGTCAGGGCGAAACCTGGGACAAGTTTGGTGACTCAATCCACGACTGTGTGTGTGACGCTGCTGTGCACAATCGGCTGCCGCGTTTCGCCCACAAATATACAGGCAATTCACTTTACAGTGTATTCTGTGAAGCGTTTTGAGACGTTGCAATGACGTGATAAGGCTCTGTATCAAATGCCAGGATTATTATTATAAACTACAGCTATCGAAACGATTTGCAAAGAAGCTTTACTTATCAAGAGTTTGTTTGCAGAGAGAGAGAGAGAGATGTATGTGTAACACAAACGTCTAGAGAGAGATTTATTTGCTAAAATAGATTATAATGAACAGGTGGGGGGTGTCTTGAAGGCAAAAGAGAGACAAGATTGAGAGATTGAGTGGAGGAACAGAGTTGATGGAAGGTGATAATAAAATATTGAGTGAGTGAGTGATGGGAGGAGGGAGAGAGAGACACACAGAGGGACATGGAGAGAGAGAGAGAGAGAGAGGGACAGAGAAGCAGAGGGAGAGAGGGACATAGAGAGAGTGAGATAGAGAGGGACAGAAAGAGAGAGATACAGAAAGGGAAAGAAGGATAGAAGGGGGGACAGAGAGAGAGAGAGAGGGGGATGGGAGACAGAGGAAGATAGAGAGAGAGAGAGAGGAACAGGGAGAGAGGGAGGAAGCCCATGTCAGAGAGAGATAGAGAGGACAGACTTGGCTCATGTACTGTTCTGGGTGATCAGAGATGGTTTAGGGGAGAGCTCATGTCTGGCTGTGGTCCTCTGACTCTCTCTCTCTCCCCCCCATCAGCTGATGGAAAAATGCCACACACACACACACACACACACACACATATATATATATACACACAGACCCTTCTCTCAACCACAACTGACTGGTCATTGATCTGCTGCTGTTCTGATGCTATTACTGTGGGAAAGGGTTTGAGTGCCCTGTGACATGGCCGCTGCCAACTGATGGCTGGTCCTGTCTTTGCCTTTGGGAAGAGAATGACAACCAGGAACACAGACAGACAGACAGACAGACAACACAGCAGCCAGAGACAGACAGACAGACACACAGACACAGACAGAAACACAGAGACAGACAGACAGACACACAGACAACACAGCAGCCAGAGACAGACAGACACACAGACAGACAGACACACAGAGACAGAGAGACAGACAACACAGCAGCCAGAGACAGAGAGAGAGACAGACAGAGACAGAGAGAGACAGACAGACAGCACAACACAGCAGCCAGAGACAGAGAGACAGAGAGAGAGACAGACAGAGACAGACAGACAGAGAGACAGACATACAGAGAGAGACCCAGAGAGACAGACACACAGAGAGAGACAGACACACACAGAGAGACAGACAGAGAGAGACAGACAGACAGAGAGACCCAGAGAGAGAGACAGACACACAGAGAGAGACAGACAGAGAGAGAGAGAGAGAGACAGATACACACACACACAGACAGAGACACAGACAGACAGAGATAGAGACAGAGTTATCAGTCTCTCTGGGTCCCCTATACACTCTCTCTCACTCTCAGGCTGTGCCCACTGTGTGTGGGGGTTCTGCCCACTATTTGGCACCTTCACAAGGACTCCTTCCCACCCACTTAGCAATCTCCCCCCTCCTCTCCCCCCTATCCCCTCCTCTCCTCTCCTCTCTCCCCTCTCCTCTCCCCCCTCTCTCCTCTCCCCCCTATCCCCCCCTCTCCTCTCCTCTCCCCCCTATCCCCTCCTCTCCTCTCTCCTCTCCCCTCTATCCCCTCCTCTCCTCTCCCCTCTCTCCTCTCTCCCTCCTCTCTATCTCCCCTCCTCTCCCCCCATTCTCTCCCCCCTCCTCTCTCTCTCTATCTCCCCCCTCCTCTCCCCCCATTCTCTCTCCCCCTCCTCTCTCCTCTCATCTCCCTCCTCTCTCCCCTCCTCCCCTCCTCTCTATCTCCCCCTCTCTCCTCCCCCTCCTCTCTATCTCCCCCTCTCTCCTCTCCCCTCTCTCTATCTCCCCCCTCTCTCCTCTCCCCCCTCTCTCCTCTCCTCTCTATCTCCCCCTCTCTCCTCTCCTCTCCCCCCTCCTCTCTATCTCCCCCTCCTCTCCCCCTCCTCTCCTCCTTTCTCCCTCTCTCCTCTCCCCTCTCTCTCCCCTCCTCTCTATCTCCCCCCTCTCTCCTCTCCTCTCCCCCATTTCTCTCCCCCCTCTCTTTAACCCCTCCTCTCCTCTCCCCCCTCTCTTTAACCCCTCCTCTCTATCTCCCCCCTCTCTCCTCCCTTCCCCACTTTCTCTTCCCCACTCTCCCCTCTTTTTAACCCCTCCTCTCTTTCTTTCTCTCTCTCTCTCCCCTCTTCTCCCCCTCTCTCCCCCCTCCTTCTCTCTCCCCCTCTCTGTCTGTCTGTCTGTCTGTCTCTCTCTCTCTCTGTCTGTCTGTCTCTCTCTGTCAGAACACTGCGCAGAGTTGTGTGAGTGTTGCTGTGTGTGTGTGTGTGTGAGTGTGTGTGTTGCTGTGTGTGTGTGAGTGTGTGTGTGTGTGTTGCTGTGTGTGTGTGTGTGTGTGTGTGTGAGTGTGTGTGTGTGTTGCTGTTGTGTGTGTGTGAGTGTGTGTGTGTGTGTGTGTGTGTGTGTGTGTGTGTGTGTGTGTGTGTGTGTTGCTGTGTGTGTGTGTGTGAGTGTGTGTGTGTGTTGCTGTGTGTGTGTGTGAGTGTGTTGCTGTGAGTGTGTGTGTTGCTGTGTGTGTGTGTGTGTGTGTGTGTGTGTTGCTGTGTGTGTGTGTGTGAGTGTGTGTGTGTGTGAGTGTGTGTGTGTGTGTGAGTGAGTGTGTGTGTTGCTGTGTGTGAGTGTGTGTGTGTGTGAGTGTGTGTGTGTGTGTGTGTTGCTGTGTGTGTGTGTGAGTGTGTGTGTGTTGCTGTGTGTGAGTGTGTGTGTGTTGCTGTGTGTGTGTGTGAGTGTGTTGCTGTGTGTGTGTGTGTGAGTGTGTGTGTGTGTGTTGCTGTGTGTGTGTGTGTGTGTGTGTGTGTGTGTGTGTGTGTGGTGTGTGTGTGTGTGTGTGTGTGTTGCTGTGTGTGTGTGAGTGTGTGTGTGTGTGTTGCTGTGTGTGTGAGTGAGTGTGTGTGTGTGTGAGTTGCTGTGTGTGTGTGTGAGTGTGTGTGTGTGTTGCTGTGTGTGTGTGTGTGTGTGTGTGTGAGTGTGTGTGTGTTGGTGTGTGTGTGTGTGAGTGTGTGTTACTGTGTATGTGAGTGACTGCAGCGTTTAAAAGGCGAGAGAGCAGAACAGCTGCTCTTTAAAGTGACTCCAAAAAAGAGAGAGAGAGAGAGAGGAAGAGAGAGAGAGGAGAGATGTGAGTGAGTGAGTGAGTGAGTGAGTCAGTGACAGCTTAGCCCTGGCTCTCTGGATACTAAGGTAAGGAGAGAGAGTGAGTGAGTGAGTGAGTGAGTCTCTTTCTCTCTCATCTCTCTCTCTCCATCTCATCCCTCCCTCTCCCTCTCCCCCTCTCTCTCTGTGTCTGTCTGTCTGTCTGTCTCAGTCACACAGGGGCTCATTGTCCCCTCTCTCTCTCTCTCTCTCTCTCTCTCTCATTGTTGTTGCCTTTTGTTGTGGCTCATTGTTGTTTGTCTCAAACCGCCTTATGACCATCTCAGGGATTTCACACAGTCCTTGACAGAGGCTGAAGCTCTCACACACACCACACACACAGCACACACACATCTCTCTCTCTCTCTCTCTCTCTTTCCCTTTCTCTCTCTCTCTCTCTCTCTCTCTATTCGCCACGTCGAGGGAGCAAACATCAACCCTGGCAGGTAGGAATCTCTCTAGAAACTGCATTACTTTTTTTTATTTCCAGTTATTCCATTTCTTTTTCCTCTCTGCGTGTGTGTGAGTGTCTTTCTCTTTCTCCCTCTCTCTCTCTCTCTCTGTCTCTCTCTCTCTCTCCCTCTCTCTCTCTCTCACATATCTGTATATATATATATTTAAAAAAAAGCTGATCCAATCACTGGGAGACAGACTGAGAAATTCTCTCTCTCTCTTTCTTTTCCTAAGACAAGTTGCTGCTGGTGTTGAATCTGTGGGATATTTCTGATCCAGTCAGTACTTTGCTTTGCTCTCCTTTTAATATCTCTCTCTCTCTCTCTCTGATTATTGCTGTTTCATTTACAACCCTTAATTTTTATTCTATGTTATTTTGTTTGTGGGTCACTGAATTGCCTTTCCTTCCCTCTCTCTCCTCTCCCCAAACAGTGAGTGTGTTCGTTAGTGATTTTAGACCCTCTTTATACCCTCTCTCTGTCTCTCCGTCTGTGTGAGTGTCTTTCTGTCTCTCTCTGTATCTTTCTCTGTGTGTGTGATTTGTCTCTATCTCTCTCTCTCTCTCTCTGTGTCTCTGCTTCTATCTCTCTCTCTCTGGTGTGTCTCTAACTCTATGTGTGTGTGTGTGTCTCTATCTCTGTGTGTCTCTATCTCTATGTGTCTCTCTCTCTGTCTCCATCTTTATGTGTGTCTCTGTCTCTATCTCTATGTGTCTCTCTCTCTGTCTCTATCTCTATGTGTCTCTCTCTGTCTCTATCTCTATGTGTGTCTCTGTCTCTATCTCTATGTGTCTCTCTCTCTCTGTCTCTATATCTCTATGTGTCTCTCTCTGTCTCTATCTCCATGTGTGTCTCTGTCTCTACATCTCTGTGTCTCTCTCTGTCTCTATCTCTATGTGTGTCTCTGTCTCTATCTCTATGTGTCTCTCTCTCTGTCTCTATCTCTGTGTGTGTCTCTCTCTGTCTCTATCTGTGTGTGTGTGTGTGTCTCTCTGTCTTTATGTGTGTCTGTGTGTGTGTCTCTCTGTCTCTATGTGTGTGTGTGTGTCTCTATGTGTGTGTGTGTGTCTGTCTCTATCTGTGTCTGTATGAGTGTCTCTCACAATCCTTATTGATTGAGATCTGACTGACTCTGTTTCTCTCCACATTACTTCTGTGGCTAATCCGAAACAAAACAGATGTTTGCACAATATTTGTCGCTTTCTTATTCCATCTTATGAACTGTGTCCAGTTTTTTAAAAGGGTTTTTATTATCATTATTATTATTATTATTATTATTAAGTACAAATGTTCTGATGTCTTAGCAGTATCCCAGACTAATGTTTGAAGTGTAACATTTCCTGACACACAATGTATCCTATATTATTATTATTATTATTATTATTATCCGGATATTTTTAAATCAGCAATAACAACAATAAAATAGTTTCATTTTAGTTTCATTTTCCCCCACTCCTCCTCCAGTGAGGATTTGATAGGATAGTTTAAATATGCTTTAAATATGATTCTGAGAGTTTTCTCCAGTGTTTGATTTGAAAATGTGTGTGTGTGTGAGAGAGAGAGTGAGAGAGAAAGAGAGAGTTTTTTTTCAAAGGAAAAATAAGTTGATTTCCTCCCCCAAAAAAAACTCCACAAAAAAAAACACAATTTTGCCCCATTGGCTGCTTTTGTATGTACTGATAATAGAAAAGGACTGAATGAATTCTAGTCCTGACAATGGAGCTGGAATAGAAGCACAAAGGAGGGGAGAAATGAAGTATTTTGAAATAGAATATTATGTAGTGTTGGGGACGTAAATGAAAGGTCAGACACTGGCTTTATAGAAGAGCTATTGTGTAAGAGTTTGAGTTTCATTCTTTCATTTATTCCCTTCAACTCTCAAGACTTGGTATCTTGTATCCATTTGCGAAGTCTTTTATCTTCCCCATTACCAAAGCATTTGAAGTCTATGTTAGTAAGAGTGAGTCGCTTTTCTTCAGCGTTAGAAGGCGCCGGTGCAAACTGGTCGGTAGGTAATATATAAGCAAATGACTTGAGAACCGAAATAAATATCGTAATAATAATAATAATAATCCTTGCATTTGATATCGCACCTTATCACATCTTCGAGACGTCTCAAAGCGCTACTGCAAAGTAAATTGACTGTATTTTGTGGGCGAAAATGTATTGTCATTATTAAGACGTGTGTGGATTGGGGGAGTGAGTTCCTTTAATGCCAGGACGAGTCAACAAATTCCTGTCGTGCCCTTACTTGTTTGGGTGATAAGTTTCATTTTGTGATCTGAAATACCTGCGATTTATATGAGAGAGAGAGAGAGAGAGAGAGAGAGAAAAACAAACAGAAGGGAAAGTGCTGGGGATATCCTTTGCACCGACCGCTTCGTATTATTATCATCTGGTTTTAAGCTCCGAAAAATACCCTTCAGGGATTTGCGTTATAGCAGGAAGAAAGTTGTTAAGTTGCTAACAGTAGAACATGCTGTTTCTTGCGATTTCAACTTTCCTGGAAGCTTCTGTCTATGATTCAGATCTCTTTGATCAGAGGATGTTATTTAAGACACACAGATGGGGACAAACTTTTCCTTTATTTTTTTGATGGGGAGTGTGGTGGGGGGGGGAAGTAACTCATTTGTTTGTTTGCCTTGCAAAACCTTCTCCAAATGCACCTTTTCTGCAGTCACCCTGGAGTGAGGGAGTGAGTGTTTGTGGGGTTTTATTTGAACATCTCACACAGAGTTAGACTGCTCTCTGCCTGATAGGCATCTCTGTCTGATCTCCCCCTTTTCGCATGCTTTCACTTTTAAGATCTCGCCTTTATTATGTAAAAAAGGCAATTAGACTTGTATCTGTTTGTTTAAAACAAAATGTCTGTTAATTAGCGTGATCAAAAACTCTTCCCTTGTAGACCTAGGATTATTGCTTTATGTGGACTCCAATTGCCAGACTAATTTGCTACCGCTTCTGTTTGCAACCTGGATTTCATGTTGTAGCCTTATTGCTTCTGTTTTCAGGATCAAACCCGTGGTCAGACCTATTGTTTAATGACATTCCCTGGTTTCTCAAACTGCACCACACTGCTGCTGTTTACACAGGGAATCTGAATTAAAATAGGATCAACTCGAAGCGAGTGGGTTTGAATTAAATTCCCTTCGCTCGTTTTGACTTAGTTTTAAGCACTCTTGCCTCTGGGCTAAAAGGTTGTAGGTTCCTGTTCCACCTTAACTTTACAGTGTAGGCTGATACTTTGGTGTGTGTGTGTGTGTGGTGGGGGGGGTGGGGGAGTGCTGAATTGTCTCAGAGTGCTGTCTTTTGGACGAGATGATAGACTGAGTGAGGTCGTAGGAATCTGCCTGCTCAGGTGGGCGTTAAATATCCCGTAACACAATTCAAATATGAAGGAAATTTCTTCCTGATTCTTCCAGGTTAATTGATCATTTACTTTCATAGGCTATTTATGGCAACTTAACAGTACATGTGGCTGCTACGTTTTTGTACAACAAAAAAACTTCACATCACATGATAGTAATTAGCGGTAAAAGACTTTGAGATATTTCGGAGGGTGATAGAATGCTGTAAAAATCCAAGTGTTTTTTTGTCTATTGAGGCGTCACTTCCTAAAGCTCTTCACCCAGTGATCTGGTCAAGAATTAACAAAGTTTATCCACGGCTGTTTGTTGAACGCTGCTGTGCGCAATTGGCTGCTGCATTTCGTCCACAAAATACACGGTCAATCCACTTGATGGTACGTTCTGTGAAGCGCTTTGAAACGTCTCAAAGACGTGATAAGGTGCTACATCAAATGCGAGTATTATTATCATCATTATTATTATTATTCCATTTGTGGCAGAGGTTTTCAGGTGACTGTGTTCATACCAGCCCTGTGAAGAGGTCAGTGATTTGTGGCAGAGAATTAATCTCGAGGCCAGTCTGAGATCCTTTTCGCAGCTCCAAAGATCAAGTCACTAGACTCTAGTGACCACAGGCCAGTCACCTCACCAGAACATGCGTCAGCAGTGAGGACAGACATAGAGGTTTTGACATCATGATGCATCCAAGAAAGGAAAGTGCCAGTAACCTCTAAAGTGACAGGAATGTTTCACCTCTACTGTAAATATATTCTCTCATTTTCAAGTGAGGAACTCTGATCCTCTCCTGTCACAGATAGTAAGAGTAACCTGATGGAGTCCGGCTCGCTGACTCTCCCACACTCCAAAATAACATTTAGCGCAAGGACTCGAACCTGCTTGGGATGTTCGTATTCCCGTGGATGTCAAATTAGTATGTTTTATCAAGAGTGCACTCAGTCTGATCAGCCATGTTTCTATTGCCATGAAAAATCTTTCCTAAATAGCGATTTGAGGAATGCACATTGGTCTCTCATAATTTGTCACTAAAACATAATCGTATGGGAACTCCAGTCCAGTATTGTATCTTAACTCTCCTCGAATATCATAGCATCACAGACTCTTCCAGCACAGAAGGAGGCTATTTGGCCCATCGTGCCCGTGTCGGCTCTTTGATAGAGCTGTCCAACTAGTTCTGCTCTTACCCCATAGCTCTGCACATTTTTCCTTTTAAGTCCCTATCCAATTCCCT